AGATATTCGGTCTTCTTATCCTTTGGGAAGGCCAGGCAAGTAGCTTGATCCTGGGCTCCTGGGAAGAAGACCCAACCAGGTTGGCAATTAGTCAACCACAATTAGTGAGTGACACCTAGCACTCATTAGTCTGGCCTCAAGACATTGAGCTTGACCAAGCCAAGTATCTATCATCTTGATATCAACTCCAGCAACTTGCTGCAAGCATGTCCATTTTTATCTTAGGAGAAGAATCTGTGGATCTGTTGGAGAAGTTCAGGTCTTAAGTGCTTCACTAGCATAGCATGCCCACCAAAATTTGGCCATGGGAGGACAGACAATGAGAAAGAAAGAGGTTTTTGGCAGGTGTATCTTTAGGTGATGATCCCGATATCAGTCTTCCCATACATTAAATACTTTTATCCATTTATGGCAAAGTAGGTGCGTGGTAACATCTCTAAAAGGTATGTGTATTTTTCAATTTAGAAAAATGATTTTGTAATACTTGACATATAAAGTGTAGGTAAATTCTAACTCTACAACATCCTCTTATGAAATTCTAATGGTAAATTTGACAAGGAGCTAAAAGGAAGAGTTGCTATATTTAAAATCAAATGTTGCAAATTGTTTAATGGTTGTAAAACTTGTTTCAAAATTTTTATTCTCTTGTACAAAATTTTTTTTCATTGACAGCAAGCATCAACATTTCAAAAAGACTTACATTAAAATGTTTTGATTAGAAATGGTAATATATATTTATAAATATGTAAAACCTGAGATAAAAAGTTATACTGATGGAAGTATATTCACAGTTCTCAATATAATGTTATCTATATTCAATTTTAATATATTGCTCCAAATATTGTATTTTATTTTCTTGTCAAAACTGTATCATATAAAAAAATGTAATGAATACCTTTACTAAGTACCATAAAGATATTCCCAAATTTCCTCCAGTTTTACCCCAGTGTGTCATACAAATATTGTAATTTTCTATTTGGGGGAACACTGCTATAGGTAGATTTCCCTCTATAATATGTTCTGTTACCAAATATCTTCTAGTATACGGATTAATTAATTATATATTTGTCTTAATATATAGCTACTATTACCCAAAGAAAACAGGTAAGTCTACATAACAATTGGAAAATGTTAAACCTAAGTTATTTCCTCACTCCTTCTCCTATGTCTCTTGAAAAAAAACCTGGAATATTATTCTGGAGGGCTAGCAATGCTGTTTTTCTTGACCTGAATGGTTATATGGTGTTCACGCTGTGATAAATCATTGAGTACCTGGTTTTGTGCACTTTAGTGTACACAGTTTATTTCACTGTAACAAAAGGTTTAAACATTTTGTTTTCTAAGACTAAAGAGATACGGTCATCTCTGAACATATTCTTACTTCCTGTTCATAATAGCCTTGCTCTTATTACTTTCCAAGAAAACCTAATAAATGATTAACTGTATCACTGGGCAGTTGGGAGCAGTCATGAAAGGCATGACACTTAATAATTCATAATAGAAACACAGTCCTCCTCAGTTTCTGAATTATCCTGTTTTCTACATAAATTAATCAGATGAATCAAATGCTGTTAAAACCAACTTAAGGGTGATAATTGGCTCTTCTAATTCATGATATAAAATATGACAGTGATGGGCCTGGAGGTTATTACTATGATCCACATAGCAGGATAAGACTAGTCCTTGATATGACAAAGTTAAGATGAATTCTACATCTATTTGCACCCTCCAGCCTCGGAAAAAACACTCATTTCTTCTGCATCCCAGAAACTGTGGCAAATAAGGTCCATCAGATAAGATTAAGAGAATTTCAAAACAAATTACTGATCTGTATATATATATATATATATATATATATATATATATATATATATATATATATA